GAATCCCAGCACCCACATGGCCGCTAACAACTGTCTGTAACTCCAGTTCCAGGGGATCGGACAGCCTCTTCCGTCCTCCGCGGGCATTGCACAACATGGGTGCACTTACCTACATGCAGGCAATACATGCATACACATAAAATACAAATAATAAAATATTAAAAAAAAACCAACAAATTAAATAGCATTAAATCTCATGTTAAAAAATGTGTCGTTCCTCATCCACCCACTAGAGGCGTATGGACTTTATACTCACAGTGGGAACTCTGGGAAGAAAGAAGCTTTGGCCTGATTGCAGTATCTTCTGTTTCCTGCCCCAGCCAGTAGCCAAAAACTGGAGGATCAGAATTTTCTGGGGCTTGGAGTTCCAACACTAACTGAAGTTTTCCTAATGGCTTTTCACATAGAAAGTGGGAGAAGCAATTGCCTTGGTTACTGCTGCAAGGGCCCAAATCCCCACCAAGCAAGCACCACTGAGGAGGAAAGATGGCACACTTCTGTTGCTTGGTCTGGGACAAAAGCTTGGCAGGCTTTTCCTCTTGTTGACAGGGCCCCTTTCTGGCTGACTGGTCCAGACCAGTTTAGATAAGACCAAGGCCAGATCTGGACATCTCACTCAACTTGGAGTTGTAACCTACGGGCTCTCTCTTTGTTGTTTAAGTTGGTCAACCAAAATTAACGGAGAGAGATCTACCCCCCATACCAGAAAAACACTTAAAGAGCCCAAGCCTTCCTCGGGGCTTTGGATTTTTTGGTTTCCAAATCCACTCTGCACTTGTGAACAAATATTGTTTCTGGATGAGTGCATATGGATTTGATTCTTGTCTTTAATAAATCCTGTTTGTTTCTTTCTCCGCGTATGATCTCTTTCCTGCCCTTTAATTCTTTAATGGCAGAGAAAAAAAGCCCAACATAACCCTAGACGGGGACCATCCAAGGTGCTCAGACAACCCACAATAGCAAAAATTAAGATGTCACAACTTAGCAAAAATTACCTGTATTACTTTTCAGTGATGATGTTTTTCTTTAAGTGCTATTATTAGACTATTCTTCTAGCTTCTATAATACATTTCTTAAAGGTTTTAAGATTGGACATTGGATGAGTACTTGATCATGAACCTCAAGACCTACTATATGCATTCGGCACACACACACACACACACACACACACACACACACACACACAACCACAACAGCAATCCCAGCACTAGGGAGATGGGCACAGGAGAATCAGAACTTCAAGGTCATCTGTCACACACTGGGTTCATTCCAAGCCTACAATAGATTAGACCCTGTCTCAAAAAAATTTACTAATGTTGTAATGATTATAGGGATTAATAAGAACCAATTCGAGGCTTTGTGGAAAGTGACCTTGAATGACAGGTGTTCTTTGCATGCAGAAGACATTCAAAGTTGAAGAAAACTCTGACCAATTGGGTGCTCTTCCTGGCTCCCTACTGAATTCATAATTCATGATTTCCTCAAAGGTTCAGTTCTGGGGAAATTAGAAAATAATGTTGATATAAAAGGGTTTTTTTTTAGCTTTACTTTTTTAATTATATATATATTTTTTATTTTTTAGAAGAAGCATTTCATTACAGCTTTAACATATTCAATAACCCATTTCATTTAAAATATACTGTTTCTTACAGAAAGACTCATTCTTTTTGATAATAGGGAGATGTTGGCGCATGCATCTCTAATCTGTATGTATCTGATTATTACTAGTCATAATCGGCTGCACTCAGATCCTTGGCACCTGTGTGTGTCTATAAAGTCATTGGGTAGATTTCAATGGTAATGTTTATCACTTCTACTAATTAATATGACATAAATTTTTATGCTTCCTCCTCAAATACAATTCATTTTTAAAAATTTGTTGATTTTTTTTGTGTGTATATCACACAGAACATCCCAAACCATCTTATTCATCTATACACTCACTTCCCAGATGACACCCTCCCACAGCCCCCTAGAGCCCTTATACTCTGATATCCCTGCTACTGTCCGCTGTGTTGTTGGCACCCTCAGCCATTCCCCACTACTTGTCCATCCTGTGAATCTAGTCAGCCTATCTAGAGGTCTTTGTTTCTGGAAGGTCAGCTGTTCCTCATCTAGCAGCAATCAGCTGTCAATATTCCTTTAGATAAGATTGGGTCTGCTGTTCATTTTCCAAGTTCTGTGCTGGGTTACTATCTGGGAGTCCCTTGGGCCACCCTGGCCGACAACTCAAAGGAAGGTATCTCCTCTCTGGCATTATTGCTTGTTATGTAGCCTTTAGCTATGCATATGGACTCTTA